AGACACGTAATTAATCACCGCCTGGGTTTGTGTGGTGTGGTAAGCAGAGTTGGGCTCTGTTTCTGCCTCAGACAGACGGCCATCTCATCACGCGTGCGCCTCGTCACAAAATTCATATCAACGGAGGTATGGTGAGCCTCGATCCAGTACCGGATGTGATAAATCTCATCTACGCAATGCCTTAGCGTCAGCCGGCATGGGCGCTTCGACGCAGCGTCACATGGCCCTCTCAGCATACTCACGATTACTCATCCTGAGTCGCTCTGCTTTGCGAACATGCATCGGCTAACCGAGCCATTTCACATCTTGATGCTTAGCTCCTCACGAAAGAGAGGGTGGGCAATGAGTCAATCCGCAAAGTCAATCCGGCCGAGATGGAATGCACATGTCCTTGACGGGGAGCGTGTGAGCCACCGCCGTCACCGCCTGAGCTAAAAGAGAGGCCTGCTTTCCCATGCCAACATGCAACCAAGACATTTGTTTGCTTTGTTTTCTTTTTCTTCGCTGCAATAAACCAAGCCAAATTACCTCTAGCAGCTTGGCAAGGGAGACGGCACGATGATTGGGGTGTATAATCATGCAATGGCTGCAACCACAGAATCTGTCAACGGGTAGGGTCCAGCACTAGAGCCGACGTAGCGATCGAACTTCTGGCGAAATATGGCATGCCCATTTGGATGCTCATGGAACCAGCCAAGGCAATGGCTCGCAAAAGCACCAGGTATTGGGGATTGGCACTGCCTCCCGCAGCCTGAACGCGATGCCGTGAGATTAGATGTTCCTTGCGTGCCATAACGATGTCCCTGTCGAGTCGATCCTACCCTTCTGTCAGTTATAGCTTGGATGGAAACACTGAAGAGCCGAGATTAACCATCACGCCTCCGACTCAAGCCTCAGACTTGAGTGGTCAGCTTGACATCCATGCGGGCGATCAGTGTCTACAATATTCTGACAAGTACGCTAAGGCAAAGCCACGCCAGTTCAGCTTGTCGATCCTCGCTCCAAGAGGCTCAAAGCTTTGCTTAGCTCCAGCGTAGCTTGACCATTTCCAGCTGACGGCCTCACGAATTGGACCGAAGCGGTCAGAGTCAAGTCCCAACATGGCAGAGACGAGCAGAGAAATAACGTGAAAGGAGCCGGCCCAGGCTATTCAAGATGCCTGATGCAACTCATATAGAGCGCGGGCTGCTGCCCACCTCGTCGCTCACCACGCATCACAACCTCCCACTCCTCTAACACCTCCTCCTACTTCTCTAATTCACAATGGCTCGAGTCTGGACACTCTTCTCGGCCTTCCTGGCGCTGGCAGCTGCGCAGGAGCCCGCAGCTATTTATGACGGTGGCCTTGGTAACGGTACCAATGGCACTATCGCTCTCCGCATTGGCAACGGCGGTGCCGGCCAGAGTGGTCTCATAAAGGGTACGTCTATCTCAATTCCACACAAACAACAAATTGAAATACCGTACTAACCTTCCCCAAGAGCTGGCCGATGCCTTCATCCAGGACAGCGTTGCCAATGGCAGCAAGCCCTTCACTGTCGCATGGGTCACCAGTGATACCACTTACAGCATCGAGTACCTGGACAAGGGCTCCATCGACGTCGGCATTACCTACAACTTCGCCGCCGAGGACATCGCTGTCAAGCAGGGCATCGCCAAGAAGGACATCTACTATGCCTTCCGTGACCACTTCCTCCTTGTTGGTCCCAAGGCCAACCCCGCCAACATCTCGCAGAGCGACGACATCAGCACCATCTTCTCCAACCTTCACCAGGCTGCTGAGGGTGCTGCTACCACCCCTCCCACCCGTTTCCTCAGCCGGTACGACAAGTCTGCTACCAACATCAAGGAGTCTCTCCTCTGGGCTGGCATTGGTCAGGTCCCCTGGGCCACCGCCTACTCCAAGTGGTACCATCAGTACATTGGCTTCCCTATCCAGGCTCTGACTGCTGCTATTCTTCTCGAGGAGTACACCATCACCGACCGCGGCACCATCCTCTCCATCGATTCCGAGCTCCGCAACCAGACTGTCATCTACAAAGCTGGTTCCGACAACGCCAGCGACCCTCTGCTGAACCCTGCCCGTCTGCTCATTGGCGAGAAGGCTCCCAACCCCGAGCAGGCTGCCAAGTTCGCCGAGTGGCTCGTCGGCACCCGCGGCCAGAGGGTCATTACCAACTTCAAGAAGGATGGCCAGCAACTGTACAGTGGCGCTCCTTGAAGAAAAGTAGATTGTCAGGCAGCATCGCTTAATGGAATGGTCTCCCTCTTATGATATCCGGTACAAAGTCAGATCAGAATTCTATAGCCTCATATTTTAGTGCTTAATTTTTAATGATAAACAAGCGTTGTGTTACCCCACCAATGTGGTTAAAATTCCATTTGATGTGAAGTCTAATGAACATAGTATAATCAGGCAGCTGGTTTATTCTTTTACTCAAATCTGTGATCCTAGGCACGTATTGCAAGACCCTTTTGGTGTATCAATTCAGTTTAGGAGTTTTCTTGTTAGACAAATTTAAATGTCTTTCCGATGAAAAGGATACTAAATTTCCCAAGATTAAAACAACAGTAGAACCAGTACACGTGGTGAACCAGACGGCTGGCGACAGCGCGATTCTACTGCGAACCTTCGATGTTTCACATTCCTGACCGCGTGACGATGCAAGAAAGTTCACCTTGCAATCCAGGTGTCAAATTCCAGAACCCATTGCGATACATAATAGTAGTTAGTTGCCGCAACGTTCAACAGAACACATCCTCTTGTGTTTGCTCACGGCGGAGACTGATCTTATGGACAACAATAGACAAAATTGAACTGCGATGTAATAGTGTTTTAGTGTATGAGTTATTGTGTCACCTACCCTCTTTACTGTGTAAGATGGTTGGCTGAAGGTTCTCAGGGTCCACAAAAAATATTCCTGCATGAGAGTTTATCGATAAGACGCTCCCGAAATTTTTAATGGCGGATACTCAAGTCTCGGTCGAATCTTCGCGCCTCGAGGAATTATTGAACGACCATTGCTGCCGTGCAAACGAGCGAGCAACATCCACAGCCGCCCATCATGGAGCAACAAGTTCACAAACCTCACCGGAAATCAAAGGAGAAGCCGGCGAAGCATACTGGAGGTACGCGCTTCCGCCTATCTTCAAGACAGCCCCAATGCTGACAATCATTTCGCAGAGAAGAATCCCAAAGCTTTTGCCTTTGCCAACCCTGGCAGACTTGCCCGTACAGCCGCCAGATCACAGGATGTAAGTTGGCCTCCCTTCTTCCCAATCAGCGCAAGGATCTTTGGCTCACATCCCTCGTTTCCTGCCAGATCAAAGAGAAGCGCCTCCATGTGCCCCTCGTCGACCGATTACCCGACGAGGCACCGCCTCGCCTTGTCGCCATTGTCGGGCCTCCTGGTGTCGGAAAGACGACTCTCCTCAAGTCTTTGATCCGCCGATACGCAAAGGAAACGATCACCGACCCCCAGGGTCCCATCACAGTTGTCACCTCGAAAAAGCAGCGCCTCACCTTCCTCGAGTGTCCCAATGAGCTGGAAGCCATGGTCGACGTCGCCAAGATCGCGGACATTGTCCTGATCATGATCGATGGCAACTACGGTTTCGAGATGGAGACGATGGAGTTCCTCAACATCCTGGCCGCCACCGGTATGCCTGGCAACGTCTTCGGCATCCTTACACATCTTGATCTGTTCCGGAAGCCCCAGGCACTCAAGGACGCAAAGAAGAGGCTCAAGCGCAGATTATGGACCGAGCTGTATCAAGGCGCACATCTCTTCTATCTCTCCGGTGTGCTGAACGGCCGCTACCCCGATCGCGAGATCCACAACCTCTCTCGTTTCCTCTCCGTCATGAAGAATCCCCGCCCCCTTATCTGGAGAAACTCCCACCCATACTCTATTGTCGATAGCTTCCGGGACATCACCCATCCTACCAAGATCGAGGAAGACCCCAAGTGCGATCGATCGATCGTCTTGTCGGGCTACCTCCGCGGAACCAATTTCTCCACCCAGGGTCAGAGAATCCATGTGCCTGGACTTGGCGACTTCACGGTTGCCAGCATGGAGGTCCTCCCTGATCCATGCCCAACCCCGGCGATGGAGCAGGCTATAGCAAAAATCACAGGAAAGACGGGTCGCCGTCGACTAGACGAGAAGGAGAAGAAGCTACATGCGCCCATGTCCGATCGAAGTGGACTGAAGATTGACGGAGACGCAATCTGGATCACTCGAGAGAAGGGCTTTTCATTCAACAAGGATGATGAAGACGTTGAGCGCGGCGAAGGAGAGGAGATGATTGTGAATCTTCAAGCCGAGCGAAAGCTCCTTGGCCAGATGGACAAGGGCGTTCAGCTTTTCGAGGGTGGCGACCAGATCAGAGACGTGGCTGAGGAAGAGGATACGGGGAGAAAATCACATCGAACGGCAAGAGTGGCTGATCAAGGTGACGTGGATGATGACGGTGCCTCGATAGGCGACAGCAGTGACGACGAAGATGAAGGCTCCGATGCTGAATTCGATGAAGGGAAGCTGGGCAAAATGTTCCGCAAGGGAGAAGACCAAGAAAATGGTGAGGGCGACGTAGCCTTTGCCGACAGCGATTCGGATTTGGGCTCAATATCGGGCGAGGACGAAGGGGATGAAGAGGATTTCGATTCAGATGAAGAAGATGCTGCTCTCAGATGGAAAGATGACCTCCACGGCAAGGCCATGAAACTCCAGGGTCGGAGACGGTCCTACTACACAAAAGACCTGGCGAGATACATGTACGACGACTCCCTCAGCCCCTCAGAAGTATTGAAGAGGTGGAGAGGCGAAGAGGAGGAGGAGGAGGACATTGAGGAGGAGGACATCGAGGCGTCCGATGATGAGGATTTCTTCAAGAAGACAAATCAAGAAAAGGAGGATACGGCCGAGGACAGGTTGATCCCCTCCTACGACTACGAAGACCTCGCCACCAAGTGGGCAATCAGGGACAATGTCCTAGCACTACAACGCAGGTTCGCAACCGGCGGCCTCGGCGGAGACGACGAGGACGGCGATGACGACGGCGATGATGGCGACATGGATGGATTTGGGGACGACGACGAGGATGACGAGGGTGACGGTGTCTTTGAAGACCTCGAGGCCGAGCAACCAGCAGAGCCCCTGCAGCAAACGGCAGACGAGATCGAGGCCGAGCGCAAGAAGAACGCGGCCAGGAAAGAGGAACTGAAGCAGCGCTTCGAGGAAGAAGACAGAGACGGATTCCTCAACGACAAGGCCAACGCCCGACGCGACGGCGGCGACATCCAAGAGTTTGGGGAGGATGAGTGGTACGACGCCCAAAAGGCCGTCATCCAGAAGCAGCTCGACATCAACAAGGAGGAGTTCGACAACCTGGACGAGCGCCAGCGCGAGGCCGTCGAGGGCTACCGCGCGGGCAAGTACGCCAAGATCGTCCTCGAGAACGTCCCCTCCGAGTTCGTCACCAAATTCAGCTCCCGCACGCCCATCATCGTCGGCGGCCTGTCCGCCACCGAGGACCGCTTCGGCTTCGTCCAGGTCCGCATCAAGCGCCACCGCTGGCACAAGAGGATCCTCAAGACCAACGACCCCCTCATCTTCTCTCTCGGCTGGCGCCGCTTCCAGACCCTCCCCATCTACAGCCTGACGGACTCGCGCACCCGCAGCCGCATGCTCAAGTACACCCCGGAGCACATGCACTGCTTCGGCACCGTCTACGCGCCCCTCATCGCCCCCAACACGGGCTTCGTCTGCTTCAACTCCCTCGCCCCCTCCAACGCGGGCTTCCGCATCGCCGCCACCGGCACCGTCCTCAGCGTCGACGAGTCCACCGAGATCGTCAAGAAGCTCAAGCTCACCGGCCACCCCTACAAGATCTTCAAGAACACCGCCTTCATCAAGAACATGTTCTCCTCCTCCCTCGAGATCGCCAAGTTCGAGGGCGCCTCGGTCAAGACCGTCTCCGGCATCCGCGGCCAGATCAAGCGCGCCCTCTCCAAGCCCGACGGCCACTTCCGCGCCACCTTCGAGGACAAGATCCTCCTCAGCGACATCGTCTTCCTCCGCGCCTGGTACCCCGTCCGCCCCCACCGCTTCTACAACCCCGTCACCAACCTCCTGGGGTGGCAGCCCATGCGCCTCACGGGCCAGGTCCGCCGCGACGAGGGCGTCGACACCCCCCAGCTCAAGAACAGCCAGTACCGCAAGATCGAGCGCGAGAACCGCCACTTCAACCCCCTCCGCGTGCCCCGCGCCCTCGCCGCCGAGCTGCCCTTCAAGTCCCAGATCGTCGAGACCAAGAGGCAGAAGAAGGCCACCTACATGGACAAGCGCGCCGTCGTCACCAACGACCGCGAGGAGAAGAAGGCCCGCTCCTTCATGCAGGAGCTCCTCACCATCCGCAACGACGCCGCCGCCAAGCGCAAGGTGAAGAAGGCCGAGAACCACGCTGCCTTCAAGAAGAAGATGGCTGCGAATGAGGAGAAGAAGGCTGCTCGGGAGAAGAGAGAGACCAAGGAATTCTGGCAGAAGAACGGAAGGAAACGAGCTCAAGGCGAGGATGGTGGTGGCGGTGGTAAGAGAAGGAGGTAAGAAGCAAAATAATTTCAAATGCGGACATCTATAAATACTACATCATCTAGTACAACAGTGGTTACAAACCCATCGAGTCAAAAACTTCTTGGGACGCACATATGCATTTTGGAGTTGGGGTTGAACGCGTCTGGCAAAAGGAAAATCGACTTGGAACTTGCTTAGAATTCTCAGGACCGTAGCATTAGTACTCATTAAACTCCCCAAATACAAGACAATGTCATTAGTCGAAACCCAGCCAGGCATCACATCCAGAAATGGAAGCGATGCGCTCATGAAGCCTACTCCCAGGCCGCTCCTCCCGATATCCCGAAAGTCGTGAAAGAAATGCAATCTCAGCCTCTCGCTCCTCAGTTCAAACTCGCAATGACCTACTAAAAACACTGCACACTATACCCATACATGAACCGAAGTCATTCCTTCGGCCAACGTCTTCCTCGCAGCCTGTTTCTGTGCCTGCAGCAAGAGCACGAACGATAAGCTTACGAGCGCTCTCGACACTCTTATTCAAGAACCTAGCACTTGAGTTCAGAAGCGTGGTGAGCATGTGATACATCCCACCCGACAGCTTTCCTCTGTGGCGATAGGTGCAGGGAGTTTACAAAGCAGTTTCGGACTCCTCCTTCTTCTCCTCCACTTTCTTCTCGCCACCGATAGGCTCGTCGGGAACATCAGGCACATGGATCTCGGGGATCTTGGTTGGCTCTTCGGTGGGAGGGGAAGGGAATTCAGGCTGCTTCGGCACAACGGTAGTCTTGGAGGGGCTTCCGCGGCCGCGGATCAACTCTTGAACCTTTACGCTGTAATCGCCAGCGTACTGCTTGCCTGCGGTAGCCACCTGATGAACCTGCTGCTGGGCAACATTTCGAACCTGGGCGGTCTGGGCATCAATGGCTTCGCTAGCGTGCTTAAGCTGTTCGTCGATGACCTCCTTGTTGCTGACGTAGATAAGAGGTGCTACGAAAGCAATGACAGTGCCAATAATAGCGAGGCCCCAGTATGGGACAATCTTGGTCAGGTGGAAAGACAGGAAGGCGAGGATGGCAGCCTACATGGACCCCAGTTAGCTACATACCACTTCTCACGGATGGGCAGTGCAGCAAACTCACAGCGATAGAAGCAGGAATGCTCTCGACAAAGAGAATTCTCTGGGCCTCGATCACGACAAAGTTGATGAGCTCATGGGTATCACCGACGAGAGAGTCGATGGTGGCGCGAGAGACAGTGTAGTATCGGCGGGGGCGAAGTTGTGTAGCGATCCCCTTGTTAAAAAGAAACTTGCCAATCGCCTCGGACGTAACAGTGATTCCCAGAGCCATCCAGGCCACCCTAAGGCCGTGGCGGGCGACATCAACGTATCGGAAGGCGAGGATGGCAAGGACGGTCGAGACGAGCGCAATGGCCGAGGCGCCTGGGAAACAACCGTCAGTATGTATATAAAATAGCTGGATATCAAGTTACGTACGAGGGTTGTTCCAAGAAAGCAACTCGTTGAAGAACGAGTGGTAGTGTGTCAATGGCTGACCGGTGGCAGCGCGAGTCTCGGGGGTCTTGCGGGATGCAGCAAGGTTGGACAGCTCACTGGAAGCCTTTGCTGTGTGTTCCTTGACATTTTGGGCAACGGGTCCTAATCAGAAGGGTTTAGCAATTTTGAAAGCAAAACACGGGGGAGCTCCAAAGTTGGAGATGGTGTCCGAAAAAAACCTACCATTTGTGACGGAATCAAAAGCGGCGGCAGCATCTAATGCGATAAGATCAATACGTGGTTCTCAAGTATCCCACACTTGGTGAGAAAACAGGATGGTATAGAGCGAATATACTGCGTATCTGGTAAGCATGAGACTGGAGGCAAGACGAGAGCAGGTTCACCATACCATACTGGCCTTGGTCGCCTCGAAGACGGAACCGCCGTTGATGTCGGGGGCAGTCTCAGCCATTGCAGCGGAGTGAAGACGGTAGCTTCAATAAGATAATTTTCGAAATGGCGTTTATCGTGCAAGTCCAAGGTTCGGGGGTTCGAAATCCTGCGGCAGAAGAGAGCTGTGAGCTTTGGAACACTGCGTGTCGCATGGGATGGATATAGCACGTAGCAGAGCTGGAGAGCTGGACGGACGAGCCGACGACTCCGGCGACAGCAGACACACTGGTGAAACGGGCAGTGGGCGCAAGGAGAAAGGAGAAACGTACCAGACAGACACGGCAGGGCGCACAGGAGCAAGTGGGAGGCAGGAAGAAGCTGCTCTGCTCGGGGTCAAAGGAGGTGATGGTGATGATGAAATTCGGAGGAGTGGGTAGGAAGATCAGGCAACTAATTATTGTTCCCTTTACCCTCCTGCTCGTTCGGGGGGCTTCCAGCTGCGCTACCTGGGCGATACGGCCACCTGGATGGTGACGCCTCCAACGCAATGTCCGGGTGCCCTCGCTCGCAGCTGCCACAGTACACCCTAACACGACACTAATAAGAAGCCTATGTCCACTCCATTTGCACCCGACAGAATTGCAGCTGCAGCCGGTAAGGGTAGTGGCGGGTCGCAGGGGATACCTGTCAGTACATAGTACATGCCCGCTAGCATTAGCGGCCCATCCAGGTACCACCACATCAACCACACATGGAGGAGACGGCCAACCGCCGCTAATCGCAGCAGCAGCAGCAGCAACAGATAGAAGATAGAGGCGAACCCACTCTGGAGATGACGGCATTGCTACATCAGCAGTAGCAGTAGCAATAGCGAAGTGGCCCCTATTCCCAGATAGCGAACCCCTCCGAGCGTCTGCTATTTTTTTTCCCTCTCTCTCTCTCTACACGAAATGACACTCGATCCAGGCATGACTATCTGCCCATCATCATGCTCTCAAGGCCCCTTGCCCATGCTGTCCGCTCTTTACTGACGAACTGACAACACACACGCGCGCCCACCGGACCAGGAGCCCGGCCAAATGAACCAGTCAATGCTAATGGAGGCTGCGAGGGTACTTGCCAGTACAAGACACGCCCCCCACCATGTCCACTCCGACAAAAATATTCCAAGATCAGGGAAATGCACCCACAGCACGTCCACACCTCTCCTGGTAGGGCGATATGTAAGGTAGGTCGGCTCTCTCTCTCCCCGCGTTAAGATGCTACGTTAGGTATTTATGACATACCACCCGTGATGCCCCGACGGCGCAAATGCCGGCGCCGAGATACCTGGAATGGACAGCTTGCAATTTCATGATCTGTCCTCTGCACCTCACCTCCAAACCGCTCCTCAGCTTTATTTAGAAGTTAGCCTCGATGGGAAGATTTTTCCCATGCATGAGTTGATGAGAGGATTGCGCTCAGATCATCATGAGGCCCCGGTCACGATACCGGCGCTAGCGAGAACAAAACAAACACCTGCGCTTGACATGTGATTGCGCAATCCGTGTGGGCGCCCGTCGTGCTGGACAGCATATGCAGCTACATCATCTGGACGCATCGCATACCAGCAATGTCGCCGGTGCGTTCGCAAGTTGGGTTGTAGACAATTTAAATCTTATGAATCTATCGGGGTATTCTTTCTAAAAACAAAGTTTGGGACCAAGTATGTTCCAGCTCACATAGGCTCATCTCATACCGAATCCTGATTAGGTATCTAACAGCTTGCCCCTGAACGCCCTGCTCATTTGCATTTGATCATGTACGATATGATTGATGGTGATGATGATGGTAAAAAATGATGATGTAGGTGGTGCTGGGCCGCGGCACCGGCCTAGTGGTCCGGTGGGGGTGGTCGCGCGCCAATGACGATGGCCTCGCCCATCCAACCATCCAGGCCCAGATGTGCGTGATTGCACACCTGTCAACTTCATGTGCCCTCCGTGAGTCAACTGCCACCATATGAGTCGCTGCCTCTCCTTCCAACAATCCAGCTGGCCACAAGAGACCAGGCTGAAGGACGAGGCCGAGTCCTGCTGTCCAATGGGTGTCGCGTGACCCATCTGTGAACGCTTGGCACTGGGTCAAATTCAAATCATTAGTCGTTTACATCCACTTCCGAGTCCGCATGCCTTCATCTGCGCCATCCCCAGAATCCTCCAGACCCAGAATTTGTGTTTGCTGCCGCTGCTGGTTTTGGCGCTGCTTGTTTCGGCACTGCTTCGTTCGACGGTGCTGATGAGTGTCCTGCCAGCCGGCCAAAGACCCCCATGGAGGCCTGTTGTGCGTTGGCGTCTACTGCAGCCAGATTATGTGCGCTTTGTGCCTTGCGGAAAGCTTCCAGTCTTTGCTTCGCCTCCTCCGCCTCTTGTTTGGCGATTGCCTCCGCTGTCTTGGCCTGTGCGAGTTCGATCAGGAGAGCCTCCTTTTCGGGAGATGGCACGCTGTGCTCCACCACTGAAGGCGGCGGGATAGATATACCGAGGCCTGTCGCTGGTTCCATCGGCAGGGACGATGCTCGCTTGATTGACTGTGTTGGTATTGACTTGCTCCGGCTGAGCTTCAACTCTCTCAAGCCTCCACCCATGCCCTTTCTTGCCCATTCTGCATCCTGCTCGCGGATTCCAGTCTCCCCTGACGCACTAGCAGCAGACCGCGTCTTCCAGCCGTGAACCTGCTTCTCTAGCCTCTGCTTGTCCTGGTGAAGGGTGCGAACATGCGCGTGGCTCTCACGAAGCAGGTCTTTTGTGGCCGCCAACTCTTGGGTAAGGTCCTGTATCCTCCGACCCTGCTCCTGTGTCTGCGCCTCGGCCTGTGATGACTGCTGCTTGGCTTGCGACAGTTGCTCAAGTAACTCTGCTTTGCTCTGCAATAATGACTCGCGCTTTTTATCATTGCTCTCCTTGAACCGCTCCTCCATCTGCTCGAGCACGGTAGTCAGACTCTCACTTGGCCCAACTAACGCAGACTCCGCCCCCGTCTCCTTTGTCGGATTAAAGCCAGGCAGTTCCTTCAGCTCATGGAGAAGAGAGCGAGCAGCCCTCCTGTCCTCATCCCGTTCCTCACGCTCCTTCTGAAGCTGGTTTGTCAGCACAGCATGGTTGCGCTGCAGCTCGCTGAGGGCAGTGAGGAGATCCTCGATTTGGCTGTGAAGATATCGTTCGTCGGTGGCACCTGGACTGGCTAAAGGCTTCGGACCAACCGGCGTAG